TAGATTAATCTTCTCCTTGACTTTGCTTCGCCTTAGTTCTTGACGACTGAGCGCATGGTCACTTAAGACTTCAACTTTCCAAGCGAAGAAGGCGTTAGGCTTCGAAACGTAGGCGTTAGCTAACAAAGAATTGTTACCGAACTTGGTAGTAGCTTAATCATCAAAAGAGCCAGACAAAGATGTGTACAGCACAATTTTGAGGAAGTTTTGCGCGTATTGCAAGCTGTTGCGTCCATTGAGGTAGTGCATGACTGGAAGAGAAAACACAGAAACATGCTCCCAAAACGCACGAGATAAGGGGAGCAACTCGAGTCCGCACTCCCCTATGCAAGCGCCCTATGGTTGCGAAATATAGTTCTGACAGAGTTAAATGACTGATCTTCTTGACAGTTCCACTACGTAATTTGGCAAAAGTATCCGACCCTTTCAATTGCACGGATTCTCCTTCAAAGTTGTTTTCTACGTTTAACGATAGTGTGCACGCGAAAATTTGAGATTGCACGGCTTGACCAACAAGAGACGGCTCATTGTGTTCTGACGTGGCTAAAAATCTTGACGAAATCGGGCTTTTTCTACAGTTCAGATTAGGCGGTTATCTAATTGCTATCACCCTAAAATCTAGCCTATATGCACTCTCGTTAGATAAATACGCCCTGGATAGATGTAAATATGCCCGCCTGTAAATAGGACCCTGACAAGCGCATTCGGTTTCTCTCTTAAAATGAAACGGAATCTGTAGAACTAACCATAGGGCTTTCTTCGAAGAAAGCGCATTTAAATGCTAACGGGATACAGTTTGTGTTGACTTCGTACTCCTTCTGCATTGGAAGTATCTTTTGCATGCGTACATATTTTCAATCAACGAGACCAATCTAAATGACCAAGCCATATGTCTGCGAAGGTGGCGCAAAGGTGGCGCGAAGCGTAGCGTGGCGATTGCTCGGCTGGAAAAGAAGTACGTGATTAACATAAGCCGTAACAGGCCCTTCCAAAGTAACTAAAGCAAACGTATACGTGAAGGGAGGGGGGGGGGGGGTAAAGGTTTATATGCGGCAAAAGCGGAGATCCCGCATGGACATCTGCAACAAATGTGCACCTCTTATATGTGTGAGGATTGCGTAATTGTTACAGATGTCGATCAGTGATTTTTTTTTTGCATTAGCCCTCGTTAGTAGCCTACCATGCCCTCGACAACCACGCTTGCCGCTGAGAAACCCACTATTCACGAACCAGCTTTGTTTTCTTCAAGAACAACAAATACCAAACTGTCATCTACCCGAAAAAATGGACGCTATTCTATCCAAAAGGTAAAGAAATCCTTTAGTGATCTGACCTCAAGTTGTATTTCAAAAGTGGTTAAGAACGGGAACATCCGCAGGACTTTTTAAAGGCGCTGCAAAACTTACAAAAAATGCCAGTGGTTCCGCAGCTCTTTGACGTGCCAATACTTTCCCAATATTTGAATGCCTTGTACGATGTTGCCTCGCCAACGAACATGTCATCCGTAGTGCAGAGGATAGTAGATGAGTATTGCAGTCAACAGAGTAAGGTTCATATCTTGGTTGGGTGTTCTCCTTTGTTACTGTGATTCGTACTTGTCGGAACTTCCGCAGCACGTTTACGTAACTTTCGCGGCCGACCCGGCGAAACTTCCTCTGTTCTGCGGAGATCCGGTCGGTTGTCTGAGTGTCGAGATGCAAACGACCCTCGAATCAGTTACCGAATCTATCCTACCAGAAGGTTTCAGATGGTTGAGCTTCGACTTTTCACGTTTTGAAGTCAAAATTGAGACAAACATTAGCCAATTACTTTTACGTTTGTATCCACTTCAATGGGGTTGCGGTTGCGAAGCGATTTGGCGGGAAACGTATGCGATGAACGTAGTATAATAGAAAGTATTTTCTGTTTTTGAACTTTATAATTTCAAAGAAGGCCGATTCCTTGCGGTTTTCTTACGATGAGCGTTCCACTTTTGGAATTATTTACAATCCAAATTTTTATTGACAGCGCTAAGTTTTTTGATTGGTAGGTGCATGTTCAATAGCTAGTTTCGTTTCTTAGCGCGTCGCACTTCGGAGTTTTTTTCAAAGATTTTTTCCAAATGTGTAGCGTATGCCATTTGCAATGGATGACAAGTGCAGATCTTCTCCATATCAAAACGACTGCAGCCGATAGCAGCTGCAAAACCGCTGCAATGATTTCTGCTAGCACTTCACTGGTTTATTTATTACCGTACAATAACCGTCCTTAAAAGTCACTGAAAGCAAACAAAAGAATGTGATGAGGCCTTTGTTTGAGAATGTAGTTGACGAACAATTTCTGTGTTGCTTTTTTTCGAAGTCTATGTCGTAAGTTCCACTAACTTTCAAATTGCCTAAGCGTTTCCAGCGGACGTTTCGTTTTTTTTCTTCGTTTAAGTACATTTCTACTATAACGGTACAAGGTTCGGGAACTGTCTAGAACATAAGCAGCAAATTCTCTCCTCTCCCCCCCCCCCCCCTCCGTCTCCTCCCGTGAAATGACATAGACGTTTAATCTTAGAAGGCATCGCTTGAGCAGTAGCTTTCCTTTCAAAAATGACAAGAATTTACGAGCGTTAGAGATCTACGATTTCTTCTAGGACCTTGTGCCATTTACAGCTTCGTAAGTAACTAGCACATGACCTTTCACACTTGCGTTTGACCTCCGCGTACGAGCTTATACAGACACTTAATGAGATTTCAATTCTCGCGTGCGCTTTTACTAGAACAAAGAACTCATATATTTCGATAGCCTTGCGTGAAATTATGTCACGTCATGTGTGAAGGTGAGGTCTCTGATCGAAATCGCTTAGTCATGTTGTTTGAAAAAACAAATAATCAAACACTTGGAATCTCTACAGACGTAGTCTTTATATTAGGTTGTCCCAAATGTGAACCCCTTTTCTAAATAGATCAAAGCGATCTCGTTTTCCTAGCAAATTTGCAGGACTATTCAGTAGAGCAAAGCAAGCTCTTCACGACCAAAGGATCACCTAAGGTAATTCACTTGAAGTTTGGAGCCAAAAACTCAAATTTTTGATTACCCTGAAAATCGGATCTCCTCCCAAAAAATTCTTAAGGCCTCCAACTTGGCCATCATACAGTAGACGCATAAAAATAATCATGAATGCGTCTGCTAGAATTTTTATACTCCCGAAATTAATAAACAAAAATAGCCCGAAAATCAAAAATGTAAGGGTTTTTTCAGGTTTTTCATGTTCAACTTGATATTTCTCAATAACCAGAGGTGTAATTAGTTATACTTGCTAAGGTGCAGCATACACTCACAGATGTGGGAGGAGCTGGAGGCGGAGTTTACCATCTTGAGCAATTTTTTACTTTGATTTTTTTCAAAAATTCAGAAACACAATTATTACTATTATGTACTCACATTTGCCGCCTTTGAGCTTTGTAGGATTGTTTTCGGCAAAATTAGATTTTCATGTAATGAAATTTTTTCGTTTTTTTTAACTCTAAACTACCCCGGGTTACGACCTAGGTGGCCTTTTGGTCTTTATGTACAGCCTTTGCTCCTTGGAACAGTGTTCTAGACTGCTAGGAAAATAAAAACGTTTTAATTTAGATAGAAAGGGGTTCACTTTTGGAACAATATCATAGTATGGGATAGCATTTTAGAAATGAATTAGACTACTTAAATCTTGTTTTGGTGTCGGACCGCATAAAGTTTAGGTTTTGAAAGAATTTCTGATAGATTTTAGATTACCTTCACATAAGCGTCCCTTTGTCTGGTCCCCCGTCTTCCCCGTTTGCCGTTCCGTTTTCGAGAACCTTCTCATGGCTCATTAGGTTCTTCGTTTGAACGGTTACGCTTAAGACCGTAGCCGCCGTTTTCACTTTCCAAGGATATGTCACAATCAAGCGCGCCTTAATTGGGACGTAGAGGAAAGAGACGAACCAATAAAGTTTCACATGTCAGCTACTCGTACAGCAAAAAATGACAAGGAGACAAGGAAGTACAAGTGTTCGAGCTTAGTCTGTAACTACACTGCGCTTCTTGAGGATTACTGTAGCTTTGCTTAACATTTCTAGTCCATAGGGCATTTCTCCACACTTTACATCCGCAACGGAACAGGAATTTGAGCTAAGCGATTAGATGTAATAAAAATCAAAGAAAACATAAAATAATCGGGCTACATATCCAAAAGTTTCAGAGTACAGATAATATTATAATGCTAATATTTGAGACTCAAGGAAGTTCAGCATTATAATCTATCAAAGCTATAATTTAATGTTATAAGATCACATTAGATTGTTGTAATAAGTAACATAAGTAATAATGTAATATGATGAGTATTATAAGACGAGCTGCTTCTATGTTTGCTCAGTGTTTTTTTTTTTGCTTTTTAAGTTTACAAAATCAATAAACCAGTACAATATTTGCAAAAGGACTGTGCTGTAAAGTGTGAATTTCATACATATTCATGGTCGGCGAGTCAGTCTAGCTCAATGATAAATTTTTTAGTTTGCTGCCATTCTGAAGCAAAATATAGCGATTATGGCCAAAACTCTATCTTATGTTGCTACCGTAATCCTACAGTTCTGAAGAGCATTGGTAATTTGCTGCATACTGTGAATTTAAGTTAAAGCTGCTCTACTGAATGGAGTTTTAAGTTAAACAAAAGAATTTGTAGAAAGAGAGTTGCTAGAAATTAAAAAGCGTGTAATCACTTCAGGGACATCCTGTATACCATTTTTGGTAATGGAAAAAAATTATTTTCGCCGTATTAACCTTGATTTTTCTAATGATGTTTGAGACATGTTCCACGCTGTAGATGTTTTATTTTTCAACTAGATCTTTATTTTTAAACCATTTGGTCAACTTCGACCAAAACTAGCGTAGGAATTGCTTTTCATAAGGTTACTAAAGAGCTTTAAAATTTTGAAAATTTCAAATAAACAACAACAACCATGGGTTTCTCAAATGGGAGAAAGTCGGGGACAGGACTCGGTACAGATGGCTTATAAGCAAGCTGGATATCGTTCTTGGGGAGTTATGATTTTGAGATCTGGAAAAACACATGAATTATTTTTTTAGTCCACATTTCGATGTTGGGTCAAAGAAGACTTTGTGAAATCTTGCAAAAGTCAGAGTGGACACCGTTTCTTTTTGCATACGAAAAGCCACCTCGTCCCTAGCCCTGGTCGGGTGTCCCTAGAGAACCTTTGGGTTCCACACAAAACCGGGTGTGTTATCAAGCGGTGCTTTATCATTACAATCATTTCCAGCAACCAGAAGAAGAAAGAAAGAAGACCCCCATATTTGTCTGTTTTAAGAAATCTTCAGCGACACTTTTAATTTGCACTTTCCACTCTTCGCCATAGAGTCTACTCCGTTACTGCCCCGTTACACAACGACTACGAAAAAAAACTATCCAGCCATGAACTAGAAAAAGTTTGACGAACTTTTTTTCGTGCGCGTGTGTCCGCTCAGCCCAATATCAGCCTGTTGTCTTACCGCACACCCATGCTAGTGTGCGCCATTCAATTTGCACTAGTACCCGTTCTGCAAAACGGCGTCTGTGTACGGTGTGCGGCGGTGTATTTGTGCATATTTCGGTTCATGCAAGTGATTACAGAGAAGTGTAAGGACGTTCACATTAGTGCCGTCGGGCGGAAGAATCAGGGGGGGGGGGAAGTGGGGAAAATTGCTTGTGCTGTTTGCGCGAGATTCATTGATGTTAAGTTGACATCATATTATGGTATGGCGCTTGGTGTGTGTACGCGCGCGCACCGCGTGTCGTGACCTTCGTAGCAATTGCAAGTGAAACTTTTTATAGTTTTATTGTATAGATATTAGCGAAGGTCACACAGGACGACTACGACGACGAATAACGCTAGAATGACAGCGGCACTTTCGCGCCGATACAATTGTGAGAAAGTCACCCCCCCCCCTCCCCGGCCAACCTCGCTTTCTTCGCGCATAATGCAGTTATTGTTTACGAGGAGTGAATTTCGATCCAGTAGTCGTTAAGCATTTCTGCTTTTGAGAATTTGTGCAATCGCATCGCGCCAACAATGGTGCGATTGTAATCGCAGTAGAGTCAGATGACATCTGCGATTGAGCCGCGCCTATGGTGTCAGGCCATTTCAAAATTTCTTTGATTTCTCTTAAAGCGCAGAGAATAGTATCATACGGTTTCACTACCCGCGACTCGTTCGCCTTGTAGGGTTTTTCCTACTTTGCGTGGAACAGATACCTAACCAAAAAAGTACCCGCTGCGAGAAGTGAAAAGGCGAAATTTCTCCCCACTCACCTGTTCGAAAACACTCCTTTTTCGTTGCAGAACCTATCCATCCTTTACCAGATCGGCAAACAGAACGAAATGAAGACGTGAAGAGATGTACCCGGAAACAGTACAGTACTCATGGACACACACAAACAAACACATCTTCGAAGGCCGTTCCGCTTAAACGTAGTGAAAGTCCTTGAATGCTAACAGCACCTAGAAGAGAAAAAGATTCAGAAATGAATTATAGCTGAGTAATTGCTATCAATTGTGAGAAGTACCGATTCGAGTGATGCTAAGAGGAACCATTTTTCATGTGGTTTTCTTATTTTCGTGATCATGTGATACATAATAATCATGATAAATTTGCTGCTATGCACGAAGAAAAATTCTTTAATGGCATAAGAAAATGATTTGTTCAGGTCACACTAGCTATTACAGCTACATTCCACATTCCAAAAATTTGGTCCTCTAATTTGGTGTAATTGCACGAATTAGTGCTAGATTTCTTGCGGAATGCCCTTATCACTAATCTGATAATCGGATGACTGATAAACTTAAAAAAGAGGATATAACACTATAAAATTGCCCTGGCTTGAGTTCGTACGACTGAGCTCATTCTGCTAGATCAGCCATGGGACGGACGATCGCGCTTGAACAAAATTCACCCTTAATAAATATAAAAAACCCCCTATAGTGCACAACTTCTATACAGAATTAAGACCCCAAGCAAGACTTGCCTTTATTCTTCCTCACCTTTCCCCTCCAATTTCTTCCCCTTTCATTCAGAAGACCAAGTTCTTCAAAAATCTGCGTCTAGCTCAAAAGAATTTCAATGGTTAACTGATTTGTGACAAATCTTCTTCTGAGACATCAGAACTATAAAATCCTTGAGAACAGACGGTCTTCTATTTTCTATTAGTCCGCATAAATTTAGCTTTCTAAGTGAAAGCTGTATAAAACATGACCTAATTTAAGTTCTCGTACCCCATTCTTAGGCTTTCAAAAAGCGGATCATCTGGATCGTCAAAAATAGACGCAACCTCGCCCTCACAAAAGTGCCATTGCAGAATTCAAAACAGCCACAATTACTCAAAATAAATCGTTTCTATCAGCGAAACTCTTGCATTTAGCAAATTGTGATTGATTAGCATTTTTTGGGGTACTGTTTTTATAACGACGGGGAGCATAGGCATAAAGAATGGTTCGTGAACCAAAAAACATGTGATAAATTTATTATACGAAAGAATCCAGGAAACAAATTGTTGGATAAAAAACATGTAGTTGTTAACCGACAGTTCTCAAATTTGAAAAATTAGATCAAATTGAAAAAACAGAGTATTGAATCTAAAACTGAAATTAAGAAAGACCACTAAGCGGAAAAAAATCAAATGTTTCTATGAAAAAATCTGGACTGAAGGCAATAATTCTAACAAGATTAGAAGTTATAGTTGATCAAGCAAATTTTTAAACTGGCACTCACTTGTCAGTGATGACCTAAGGTCTCAATTTTAATCCTTCGACACATTCTTCCAGCACAGAGCATTCGAAGAAATCGTCCCTGAACTAACTGAGCATTCAACACATGATTCTGAAAATTTTCTGAGGACTTTTTCTTCCTTTATAAATACTACGCTCTCAGGACTCACTTCTACGTTATATACGTGTACTTACATCACTTAGTACTAAATTGGCCAATTGGAACAAATTGGAAGCTTCCGAAAAAAGTTCACGATGGCTCAACGAGTCCAATTTGTTGCTAATAACACTTTTGCCCAGAATATAAAAAGCTTTCGCGCATTAAAGCGCATACATGACTATTTTGAGTGGGTAGCACTAATAGTGAGAAGTGTCCAAATTTAGAGGTTTTTGACATATGAAATGAAAAGCTGCACAAATGGGTGATGTTGCAGAAATTCGGTGGGAAATTCTAGTTAGGGATGAAAAGAGTGGATGGTGTAAATGCAGAGAGAATCTAAAGATGAATCACTGGTTCAAATTTGAGTTGAAATAACAAAGATTTGTGACTATAACAAGCACCAATATGAATTGAAAATTATGACTGCTAAAAAGACAAGAAAAAACGATTGAAAATGGACATTGCTGAACATGATAGACTTTTATGGACAAAGATCTGACAACCAAGTATAATAAGAACAAAAATTTTATTGGACTAGTTTTCACAATAAATTTTTTACAAAACAAAATGGTAAACATTAATGCTTTGGTGAACTGGAAAGGCTAGTTGGTAATAATAGTTTCAATAATCCACTGAATCAAGAATAGGTTAGACGACTTGGCTTACAGCAGTAAAGAGAATGACTAATCTGGTTAAAAGTGCCCATAGTTAACATCTTTTAAACTTGTTTTGGAAAATTATGGCTCAACCGGTTTCGGAATGAAATATTTTAATTTTCACTCGTCTCACAGCCCTTGAAAACTCGCTAAACTAATTGGGGATAATAATATGAGTCGCATTCCTTGGCTGAGTGATTCTGCTTGGAACAAGCTTTTTATCAAGAGAGAGGAATTACCCTAGCACATCACTTTGTTCATTGGTATGCACTTAGCTGACGTTTCTGTGTGTCTAGAAAATCTTTTCTGGGTCGTGGATGGAAGAATTGCAAGTGCAAATTTATTATGGTTCAAGGTTAGGCCAGATTAATTCCTAACTTTGAGCGAATGCTGGAGCTTGATAATAGGTTGTTCTAAAAAAATCAAACTGTTCTCGTTTTTTTTTGCGGACCTAGGATACCATTCGGTAGAGCGAAGGGCTCAAATTTCGAAAAAAAATTTTCGCTTAAAAATTAGATTTTTGCGAAGAAAAATCCCACAGACCTCGTTCTTAGCCATTAACAGCAGACGCACAGTAGTACTCAAATATACCTTTTGATTTTTTAGCGCTTAGAAATTGGCAAACCCCTAGCCCCGCCCACATACCACAAGCCTTATGAGTATAACGTTAGAATTTTACCTTTGTTTGTGCTTTGGTAATCGAGAAATTCCAAGTTGAACATGAAACACCCGAAACAGTGACATTTCTGCATTTTCGACTATTTAAATTTCTCAAACTTGAGCCCCGGAAAAACTCCATCAAATACATTTTTGGGTACTACTACGTGTCTACTGTATAATGACCAAGTAGGAGGCTCGTAGGAGTTTTCTGGGAGAGGATCCGATATTTAGAATTGGAAATTTTTGATTTTTGAATCCAAATTTCACCTTGATCACGAATTAGACGGATCTTTGGTGGTCATTTTGTAAACAAATGAGGTGGTAATTTACTTAACCCTGTTATTTTACAAGGGTAATTATATTGTCAAAGCTTAGCCTATTCACTAACATTCCGAACGGCTTTTCCCTATCCCGAACAACTGAGGGCTAACTTTACCGAAGCGCTCGTGGCCACCGCCTTCACTCACTTCAACACCGTCCCTCGTGGACTCCCCGCTGTTAACTGGCTCTTCTACAAAAGAGGACCGGTCCACGAAATCTTAGCGAGCTATGAAGGAAGAAAATTTACGTGATTTATTATTTATGCATGTACAACTATCAACATCTTCTCCGGAAAAATCCTAATATGTACAGACAGAAAATGATCGATGGTGAAGTTGATGAGCTAATTCGGGCTTCATCTCTGTCCTAAGTGCGCATTTGGGCAGATGCAAGTGCAAGGAGCAAGGAAAAACCTACACGAAAGCATCCTTGCTCTGGAAGTCAAGCTGCTTACACGCATGGCTTAGAAAAGGAGAAGTGGAGCGTAATTGGAGTGAAATCCGTTTTTTAAGCGAAGTTTATAGCTAATCGCCAAGCGCGCAATGTCGCAATTATAAGGTGCTAAGTATAGCTTGGAGTTGGAAATTATGCGTTCTTGAGGGGAAGAGAGGAAGTGAAGAAGTATTACAATGAGATTAAGGATTTATAAGGGTAAGGATACTTTACCTTGAAAATATCTCGCCATTTCTCATTAACTATACCAATGGTTTAGTTTTTGGGGAGTATTTTCTCATACATTTTTCTTACTCGTGGAACATTATTTCAAAAATCTACTACCTCCTTCATTCTCTCGCCGAACCTGTTAAAATTAACACTTCGACAAATTTTTTTGCAGTTTTTCAAAATATCTTATAGACCATAGAAGAAATTTTGCAAAATATTTCCCGTTTCATCATAAAGATTGAAATTTTGCAAAATAATTTCTGTTTCATCGTAATGAAAACTTTCCGAAAATTCCTGTTTCAAAATAATGGGAATTTTGCAATATATGATTTGTCTTTCATCATAATGAAAAATTTACAACAATTCCTGTTTCATCAAAAGAAAAATCCTGCAAAATATTTCCTGTTGCATACGATTTATGTAAGCCTAAAATGACGTTCTATGGGAGGTAGGGGAGGGTTTGGGAAGTTATGAGGTTAACTTCCTAACCTCTTCCTTACCCAAAGGAAAGGTATTGGTCCCCTTACCGCCTTCTTTCCCTCTCCCTTCCCGGTACCGCTTTCTCTTCCCTAAGCATTCACAACCTCGCACAACCTAGTAGCGTTCACGTCAATCCTATGCATGTCATGGAAAGCGCAAGGTAACGAGGACGAGTTTTTGCGCCCTCAAATACGCCATACGTAAAATGGATGTTAATCCACATACATATGTCAAAAGCGCGCTCTAAAGTCGAAGCTGAAGCTCACCTATGGATAGACATGAGGCGCCAATGGCTTCATGTTTCACTACTATCGCGCATTGTGCAATGAAAGTGCAGAGTGTACAGTTTTGTAACCGAAAGAAACCAGTTTCTCACAGTTTCGAAGACGCTTGAAGACGATTCCATTGTGAAGTAGCGGTGAAAGTCGAGACAAGAACTTTTTAATGGGGAGAAGAAAATAGAATTTCATCGAACAAATTCCAATTTCATAACGGGGTGTTTTCGAAAATGGCACGAGCGAGCGAGAGAAACTGGTAGTGAAGAATTTTAGACAAAGATCATACGATTTTGAGAAAATCGTAAGCACGTCGAATTTTGGCGTGATTTGATTTTCCAAATCAGTGTGACGACGCGCGCACTGAAGAAGTAGGGAGTTCTTGGGAAAATTGTCAAAATCATTTTTGGTAGACGAGAATACTTGTGATTCAGCACATGAATGCACACACCTACACGCATGCACTCAAACGTACATTGATTTCGTAGGGTGAACATTCAGGCAACCAGTCCTTCCTGTTCTTCCCAGTAGCATTCAGGCATTTATCGCTCTCGGGAAAGCTCAACGGCTCCAAGATTTTCCCAACTAAGCTATGGACCATTTTGGGCTGCTGGATGGGTAAAAGGGACTTTTGCAGCTTTTGAGAGCTATTCGTTTTTTTCTTTCTTGATCAGTTTTCTCTTCAGTCTTTTAGGTGCCAATTGATTTTCATCATTTTACTGATGAATGTCGTGGATACCTTTTCTCACATGCTAGTCCACAAAGTCGAAAGAATTTTTTTGCTTTCAAATAAATTACTTCCTAACTGAGAAAATAAAATCTGAAATTAGGTCACTCTATCTTCATTTACTTGGTAATCCTGAAATAATTTTTTTTCAAATATGGTTTGGTTCTAGCGTTTATTTTCAGAAAATTTAAAGTTTTATTGATTTTGTCTGCATGTGGCAAGGATGATAAGGTCTTGAGCTTGAGGGGATCAGAAGAATTTCAGTGCTTCTATCAGAAACTGTGCCTCTTCACTGGAGCCATTTCTATTTTTCATTTTTTTGAACTTTCTAAAATTTTCAACATCTTGCTGAAAAAACAATCCAAAAATATTCTCTTCATGAAAATGATGCTCCATGAGTGAAAGTTTCTTTGGCGCTTCTAAAAAATTCGCTTTTCCGACGACAAGAGATTTCTGAGGAAGAACTCTCTGAGAATTTTCTGCACAAAGCAAACGTTTGCCGTATTTCTAGAGAAGTTCATCAAACACTATATATCATATTTACCCAAATCTAGTTTCTTATAGGTTTTGGTCGAAGTTCCACCTCTATTTCGAAAAAGTCGTTTTCGATGCTGATATGGCTATTTTCCGTGACTCTCATTCTCTCTAATCTACCTAATGTCTCTAACCGTTACCTAAATGGTCTAGCTAATTGACTGTAACTAAAACATAAGGAGCAGTTCCATAGCAAAGTGCAGTACTGTATTTGCAAAGTAATGCTTCTATGAATTGTTTTTCCACATGTAAAGGAAGTTATCAATATCAGTAAAACCCATGTCGATTATTTGATGTTCATAAGTCTCGAATAAAATCCATGGGCGCTGGAGGTGAAACTGGTTTCAAAGTATATTTTTGACAGTTAAAGAACGAAAATGCAGTACATCGTGAAAAAGCAGTAATTAGCGTGCTAGTAGTCAAGACAAGACTAGTTGAGCGGAAATCTTTCACGAGTAAGACATACTTTTTCAGAAGAGAGGAGGTTATTAGTGGAACAGTTTGTAAGTACTCTCACGGACACATAACATTAATAGTTTGCTAGGAAAATTTTACGATAGTCCTGCGCGCAGAGGTTTTTTATGGAGTCTTGCAGGCTGGGAATTTCGTAAATAATGTTAAAGTGAGCTGAAAATGCAAGTAAAACAATTTCTCATGAGGTAGAGGGACCAATATGACTATTAGACGCCGCCTTCTTGGACCACTGGTCCTTTAGTCATGCTACGGCATACCGCTTGAGGGCCGGAAGTCCGTGAAGGTCAAGCCTAATGGCGGTATTCACTCCTCTACAAACTGCCATAGGGTAGATCAAAGTCTTCGGAAGCGATGGTACTGGGAAAGAATGTAGGGAGCTGCTAGATCGTGTGTCGCCAAAACTAACAAAAGTCCCATTCTCTTATGGAAAAACCTTAATGTCCTCATAGCACAGGATTGACGTGAGAATTAGGTCACTTCCTCAGACAATATTAGTACACGAACGCACACATTTTCCCCTATTTCTCCCTCCTCATCCTATTTCACCTCCTCGTTACTCTCACCCGGCTGTACGCACCATCTCAACTCGGCTAATTTGCCGTAATTCCATGTGTTCGGCGCTCTATCTCGAACTGTCTAACGCTCTGCTACCTTCCGCCACCGCCAGCGTCGCCGCTTGTCCGCTTCGGTGAAACCGCCACCGCTGCTGCTGCTGCCGTCGATGGCGTTGATCGTTGTCGGTGTCGGCCACGGCCATACATACACACACCCATCCATACACACACATACACACACACATACACACCCTGTCCCGCCCACTTAGCTACCTATTTAAGCGGAAGGGTAATGTTGTCAGATCAAGCAGCTCCAGCATCAGCTACCAGCACACACACACTCACTTCACTCATCTCAACTCGTCGTGGGTTGCTTCGATTGTGGTGGTGTTTACTTGTCAGTCCGGTAAACTCCAATATTTTATACTTTTTCAACTTTTCTTAGTGCTTTACCCCTTTAGCCCTTTACGCCTTATTATATTCCAATTCATTAAGCGCCTAGTACTACCACCACCCCTTTTCGCCACCACCGGCGCTAGCCAAGTGTGTGTCCCCCTGTAGCTAGCTTCTCAAAAAGACTTTTAGCATTTAGCTTTGTTGTTGAATGGCCCCGACTTCCAGGCGCGCATTAGTAGATGAGGACCCCCCCCCCTCTCCTTGCTAACGTCACGCCCACTTATTCGCCTCCTCATCCAACATCGCTTCTTCGCACTGCAACCGGGTGTCATCCCCTTAGCCCATCCACAACTCTTCCCAGCAGCAAAATATTCGGCGCTCTAAAAAACTAGTTGTTATAGGTAGCGTTTAGATCTTTCTGCCCTAACTGCTATTGTCTATGTGTAAGTCGGCTATTTCCAGTCGGTTATCGGTTGGGTAAGCGACCAGGTCTGGGTTTTTGGTATACTTGATCTAGTTGTACTACAGTAATATTTGGTTAATAATTCGTCATATAAGCTTTACTTTTATGAGCTTATTTTGCACATTTTGTACAGTTTACCCGAAAAGTTCACCCTTTTCCAAACCCAAAGCTTGTAATAGGTTACAGTTACTCCTTACCCTTTACCAGACCTGTGGTACAGTTACCAATTACAGGGTTACTAGTCAGCTCTTCTAAAGGCTAAATAATCTGAGAAAATGAGTTCACTCTACCACCTCTACTCTTCCACTTTCTCCGCTGCAAATTTCTCAAGAAATTGCCCGTTCCAGACAATCATAGTACGGCGGGAGAATTTTTTTCCACCCAAACAGTTCCACTTTTCACTAGTTACACTCACAACAGCATTTGCAAAGAAATGGAAATTAAATCGCTTTGTTTTTTTTGGCAATTGGGTTTGAAACCAGTCACACACACACACACACTGTAACATTTAAACGATGACGCACCACACACAAGAGCATAGCTCTCTTTCCTCTCTTTTCGTCTCGACGGACGCTCATTTTGATGTCATGCTTTGACAGAAGAGGGGGGGGGGGGGGACGGGTTGAAATAGGAGTGCACCACCTGAAACCTATCGCTCGTTCTCAATTGCTTCTCTCCCTCTCGCTTGCACTCTCAGCTCAGTCGTTGTTCAGTTCTTAGCAAACGGAAGTAACTGTGCCATGGCTGTCGACAACGACGACCTTTTCATACACTTCTCAATTTGGTCATGGTCAACTTTCGTTGCAAAGTCATAGCAAAAGGCGAAAAAATGTCTGCTGAAGATTGACATTGAAGGAAACGTCGTACTTTTTGGTATTGTAGTGTCTGAGACCATCTTTCAATTCCGCAAATTCCGTGCTCGCTCCGCCCTATCATATAACCGCTCACTTCTTCATTATTGAATCTTCTTAGTTTACAGATGACGTCGGACGACCCCAAGGTGGTGGCCTATGAGGTCGAGTCACTCCGAAAACTCGCATTCTTCGGTAAGCTTGAATCTTCTACAATTGCAGACATTCTTCAACAGTTACAGTACTCATACTTTTCTAGGAATTGCGATCTCAACAGTGGCAACTCTGACGGCCATCATCGCAGTGCCCATGCTGTACAATTATATGCAGCATGTGCAGTCGTCCCTTCAAACTGAGGTCGACTTCTGCCGGCACCGCACAGATGGCCTCTGGGATGAGTATGGCCGAGTAAGTTTACATTTTCAGTTTTTGAAAAAAAGGAAGTTTGAAAAATTCCAATTTGCTATTCGCTATTGAGAATCCTATGGCTTCTTCCCATCCGTCTTCAAGCGTTCATTTTCTAGCCAAAAAAACCTTCGCAAGCCCAAGTGTTCGTAAAGTGCAGCTACTTAGCAGCGCTCTTAATCTTCATCAAAAATCACGCACTAGCGCCAAAACAAAACCGCTTACTCCCGTTCTCACGTTCCCAAAGTATCTCCACTCACACACTGATGATGTTTCCGGTTTTCGTATGAGGGATAAGAACGGCTGCCTCACATCGTATTTGTCGCTCCTCTTTTGCTACTAAAGTGTGTCGACGATATTGCGCAATCCGCTATGCACCTCGTCTTCTTTCAGACGACCAGTTTCATCTATTCAGCGCAACGCGTTTGAAGAGGTCTTTTCATGAGTCTTGTGTGCTCTCAATTAGAATCAAGAATAGGGAACACATATGATGCATAGTATGGAATCTGTCAAATATAAAGTCACCATTTTCAGTTCGAGCACTTGAAGGGAGTGAACGGACGTATTAAGCGATCAGTTGTTCACCGTGGAAATGGCGTCACAGGTCGTGCCACACACCGACGAGCTGTCGCCCATGGTGCTTCCAGCTATGATGGCGGCTACGGCGCCAGCGGTTATGACAGCGGTGTGACAGGAGGAACGACCGGCGGTCAAACCTGCTGCTCATGCGGAATTGGACCCGCAGGACCTCCAGGACCTCCTGGTCCAGATGGACAACCCGGCGCAGACGGAGCTCCAGGTATGGATGGCGCTCCTGGTAACGATGCCGCACCAGATGCTATTCCTACTGCTGCCGACTTCTGCTTCGATTGCCCACCAGCACCAGCTGGACCACCCGGCAAACCTGGACCTCCTGGCCCAGCCGGAGCTCCTGGACCCGCCGGAACCGACGGCGGAGCTGCTCAACCTGGCCCACCAGGACCACCTGGACCACCCGGACCACCCGGACCAGATGGACCACCAGGACCCGCCGGACAACCTGGAGCCCCTGGACAAATCACCGAAGTTCCCGGACCAGCAGGACCCCCTGGACCACCCGGACCCCCAGGACCACCTGGACCACCTGGAGCTCCCGGACCCAGCGGCACCTCTGTACAAGGACCCCCAGGACCCCCAGGAGACCCAGGACCAGATGGACCTCCAGGACCACCCGGAGCACCTGGACCAGCTGGACCACCAGGAGCCGCTGGAGCTGGCGGAAGCTGCGACCACTGCCCACCTCCCCGTACTGCTCCCGGTTATTAAACAAAGAACGGATATGCTCATTACTGCCATCGTTGGTCTGGCTTGCCGGACAATGTATAGTATTAAATAGCGGGCGTAAATCATACAAAAACACATCACGATGTTTTAGAATTTGGGTAGTTTGGCCTTCATTAGATCCTGTCCAGCAGCCGTGCAAAAGTGTGCGAGTCGTCGGGATCGATCTCTTTCGTAAATTTTTGGGCAAAACAAACATTCGAATATCGTGTTCACATTGTGCTTCTCATACCGTACATCACATCATTTGAGAGATAGAGACGTAAACCGTTCAACATCGACTTGCTTGAATGTTTATTGAATCTATTGAATAAAATTTTGCAAACATTCATGTATTTTTATTCAGAAGAAATGAGTAAGGAACATGATAAATGTACTAAGTGAGTCGATTCATCAATGTCTTTATGCCTTAATTCACTGGAACAATGGTGAATAAAACGTCCATCTCATATATTGGTTCCACCAAAACAAAAACAGCTCTTCGAGTTACACAGAGCACTGTAATTTTATTTGCACTAAAAACACCAGTCACAGCAGTCCACAATAGCGAATTGGCCAGATTTCTTACATAATCGGCTATTGTCTCTTATTGTCTCTTACCAGCTAAGAACTCCTTTTTGCTGGGCTCGAGAATCTCAGATTATTACGAAAAAGTTACAACAAGAAGCTACACATTAGTTGATTGACTGAGACTAGCTTTACACAGAAAAAACTCCTCTAGCAACCAAGATCTCAATAATTGCTTCTTAATTACGTTGCTTTTGAAATGGAAAGGTGGTACAAGACTAGCTGCTACTCTAGATGAATGTATCGCTTACCTTCTCCATCAAATGGAAAGTAGTCAGGAGAAAAGGAATTGTAAAGCTTAGAGCTGGTGAAAGTTAGCTGCAGAACTGATAGCATTTTTCTCCATTCTTTTGCGCAAGCCAGCCATATGCTAGCTGTCTACGTAAATAAATCCGACACGGGGTTTCCGCTCAGTATGCGTATCTTGAAGAATGATGACAGACTTGGTCCAACGAAAATAGTGCACAATTTTTTGAGCTTACCCCCTCCCCTCTCCACCCCTCTTCCGTCCTTAATTTTGATTTTTCTAGAAAACTTGAGCCAGCCATAAGCGACATACTCATCCTACTAGTGCTATCCTTTCTGTTTGCCCAGTTGTCCCACTCCTCCTCTCTTTTATAACATTTGTAACAACAACCTACAGAGCTTCTAGAAGGGAGAATTCGCCGTTTTTTACCCTCATAATAGTGCTCTTACAATATTCTCATAGTGCAATGACAGAATCTGCATCTTTTTGCGACAATGAACCTGCCATTTCTATTGCGCAAACGAGGGCAAAAACCAGCGTCATGATTACTACGATGGAACTACATAGACTTCTTTCCGTGCGCAAATGTTATGAGAATAGTGCAAGAAAAACCTCGTTTCAGCTACACATGCCATTTGGGTGTGTGTGTCTGGGTCGTTCGTCTTCAATGACGTCCTTCAAGGAATTGTTCTGCCGCGTAAAACGATTAATTGCAAAGAAAGCGATAGTTTTCAACGTGTCATGAACACTAGGGATGACAGGAAATAAGAAATAATATGAAAGCGGGGGTTCCGCCAATATCGAACTCATCAATTTGAGTTGTACAGATGATGAGAGAAAAAGTGAAACGTAAGTGTGACGTTAAATCGAAAGGCAACACTAAAAAAACTTTCAAATCTATTTTACAGCACAAAGACTTGATTAAAACCAGCGAAGACTTAAAATCATCATTCATGTTGTACGATAAGTGGTGCTTCTCTGTAGTCCAGCCTTCTTGATCTTCCCATTAGTTCTTGGAGAAGCGTTTGAATAAACCATCTGAGCCGCACTAAGCTTTAGCACGAGGTATAAATCAAAGCCATGCTGAATATCGCATTCAAAGGAGGGAGGGGGGGGGAATGAGTATTGTAGAGGATTCCAAACAGTTTGTCGAAAGTGCATGACGTACAGAACATTAAATTTGGAACTTGCTCGTGAAGCGGTGCCAAGGTTGGTGCGAAGTAAGTGGCAAGTGTAAGCCCTTTTTGGGTCCGATCGACAGGAATTTCGGCCGCAAAACACAACGAAAAGAAAATACTTATTTAACAGAAACAACTCAAAACCATCAAAAACAAAGAAAGGGATTCAAGTAAAGAGTAAATTGCCAATCAGGAAATCGGAGCAAGAGAAACTCAATGATGCCGCGCCAGATCCCTCTATTTATCCCGAAAATACTCGCCAAAAAGTTTCTTGGCGAGCCTCCCGTAGGTCGCCATTGCTGTTCTCCACGACATAAGCCGTTGCTCCCTGAGTTATTTACTTTACTATCGATCCAAATAAGATTTGTAAGGTGGTAATTTGGTGACTAATTCACTCATCCTTCTCGATTTTTTTTATACCGCGAGGAAATCTAAAACGCTATATGCTCTCGACTCGAATAAGTTGCTCAAACCTTTTCTTCTGTTCAAGTTTTCTGTGGCTATAGTTGAGGTATCTGATTAAAGTCAAAAGTCACGTCAAAAGTCTGGGAGCATAGGACTTTTTTTAATTTCACAGGAAAGCACTTTAAAACAAAAATCATTGCACATGTAACTCAAGCTTTTACAGTCACTTTGCTCTCAAAAATTCGCATTAGCCTCTTCTGGCATCAACGCAACCCTTATAAACCCTGATCAGTGTACCTGTCGTAGCACGCAGGTACTCGTAAAGAAGTTCTTCCCATACCTCCAAGGTAATTACTTCTTTCACATTTAGTATTGTGCAGCATGACAGAAAGCTTTTGTCTACAACATACTTTGAAGAAATACTTTGAAAAAAAGAGCAGAAAATCGACGTCTGAAAAGTAGAGAAACTAGTTGAATGTTTTCTCTTCTCTGAACCTGGGCATTCGGAATGATGTTAGTAGTTGTCATATGATATCATGTCAGTGCCAGGTTTGTACGGTGGGATTCTTTATTGGCTTTACGTTTCGACAAATTTGTCTTCGTCAGAGGCCTGAAAGTAGATTGCAATGTTATCTTTGCAAGACCAGACCACCAAACGCCTCCCCGCATTGCCGAGTCTAGACCCCGTTCCGCAATCAACGTACTGGGACACGCGATGAGAAACGAACCTTAATCCACCGTTGTGATCGTGAGAGTTAGTAGAGTCAGTACTTAGTCGCACCGAAGAGACAGACCATACTGAGTGCTGTCCTATGATCGACACTTATATATGTGCAGACTATCGCTCACAGATTGTTAAGATAGGCAAGAGTTCGGCTGTTATTGATACGCATTCATTTTTTTGTTCATGCTAGGATTTCGAAGGGAAATCCATGCTACCTCAACGGTTTTCCTCGCTGTAATCTCTGCCTCGTATGACAAAATAGTGCACTTAACGTCAAATTCATCGCCGTTGTGCGTTTCTATTCTGTGTCTTCTCAACGGTGACATTGCATTTGCTCGTCTTTTTGCCGCTAGATGCTCCTTAAGTCTAATTCGCAATCTACCCGTTTCTCCGATATATGTCGCCTTGCAATTCAAGCACTCCAACTCATACTCTACTCCTGCCTTCGCGCAATCACCTACTTTTCCGTATGGGCAGACAATATAGCGCTCTGATAGACATTCTGCTTCATAGAGCCTGTTCCTTACCAACAGCTTCTTGATGTTCTCATTCGGAATGTTTACAAGCATAACATCATTTTTGTGCCCGCCTTATACATTGTTTAATTGCTGCACTGAATTTATCGGAAATGAAAGGCATACACAAGGGCACTTTGTTATCCTGAGCGTGGCTACTGTTCGCAGACTTGGAAGCGCAGCTTAAACGTTGTGGTAAGTAACCGTTGCTAAGCTTATGGACTTATGGACTCGAGTCGTTCTTGCTCACCTGTGCATACACTTATAGCAGTTCGATACATATTGCGCACAACGGCTCGTTTCATTGTGATTGGATGCGCTGAATTGGCATGCAGCAGGATATTCCCTGAACTTTCCTTTCGGTTTACGCGAATGGTATCACCGGATAGATTTATCTGCGTATTTAGAAAGGAAAGCTATCCATTTTTTGGGGCTTCTCTTGTAAGTGTTGTGTACCACGACTGCTGGTTTAGTTCGGAAGCATTCTCCATTTCGGACTGCGTCGATGTTATAACGCAGCAGTCGTCGATGTAACGGCGGTACATCAACGGCAAGCGTGCAAGAACTGGCTCCTCGATCTTGCTCATGAAACAAATCGCAAGGATTGGGGCCGTTGTCCCATGGCCAATCCTTTTATCTGTGGGTAATAACTCCAGATAAGCACTGTATTGTCTGCCCATACGGAAAAGTAGGTGATTGCGCGAAGGCAGGAGTAGTGTATGAATTGGAGTGCTTGGACTGCAAGGCGACATATGTCGGAGAAACGGGTAGATTTCTGAACGTTAGACTCAAGGAGTATCTAGCGGCAAAAAGACCAGCAAATGCAATGTCACCGTTGAGAAGACAGAATAGAAACGCACAACGGCGATGAATTTGACGTTAAGTGCATTATTTTGCCATACGAGGCAGAGATTACAGCGAGGAAAACCATTGAGGCAGCGTGGATCTCCCTTCGAAATCCTAGCATGAACAACAAAAATGAATGCGTATCAATAACAGCCGAACTCTCTTGCCTATCTTAACGATCTGTGAGCGATAGTCTGCACATATATAAGTGTCGATCATAGGACACCCCCACAATGGTCGGCCGCCTCATCGTGGCGTGGGGGTGACACTGGGTGTCGAACTGCGATGCACAGCCGAGTGTATACTCTGGCAGGGCCTCCCAAGCTGTGAAGGAGTTCGACGTTTCCGGTTTCAGCCGGATGTCTATCTAAGAGCCGGCCAGGCCAGATCTACCGCCGTCTGGTTTTCAGGTCGCTAGGCGGTTCTCCCCGCTCCAAGCCCGGGGTCAGCGATCGCCCCGTAGAAATCAAGAGTTGGCCTAGTAAGTCTGCTCTTGTAGGGGAAAAGTTTCATTACTCTACCAGTTAGAAGGATAGAAAACCCTCACACCGGATCCCGCCTACTGCGCCGGGTGGTAGCAAGACTGATGTCAGGGTCCTCAGGGCGCCTTTTGGATTGGACAAAAACGACACGTCTGCCCGGACGACACGCCACGGAGACTGCCTCATGCTCTGCACCTACAGCGCCAGGACAGTTTCCACAAACGCCGACCTCCACGCTCTTCTCGACGCTGCAGAGCACATCAAGTACCACATCATCGCTCTGCAGGAAACGAAGTCCAGGAAGAAGGACGTGCGACAGATGAATGATGGGACGCTTATCATTCGTGGTGAGAAGGTTCCAT